TTTAGTCACAAGGTGGCGCCAAACAGTCAAAAACACAAAGCTGAGAGAAATGAAAACAGCTGATGGAGAATACACTAACCTGCACATTATTAAGAAATAAGATGATGCCAAACAGTCAAAAACGCAAAGCTAAGAAATGAAAACAGCTGATTAAGTATACACTAACCTGTGTATTAATCAATCAAAACCTGCTGATTAGAGCATAGAGTAATATAAGAAAAAAAAATCTCAAGATATATAAATATGAAAGTATTCACTGATGGTCAGGGTGATTCGAAGATTCCAGATGAGCCTGCATTATTTAGCAGTTGTTATCTTGGGATAACATACTCTGAATGTCGTGACTAACCAATCAGAAGCGAGTATTTCAGACAGTCATGTAATAAACAAAACATAACGACTTTGTTCAGTTTATTCTTCTGAGTGTATGAAACTTGTTGGTGTTATACTGTCCCATATTCTGTTCATATTTTCTTCAAACTGAGGTCAAACGTATGTTTAAGTGTTTTTGCTGATCCATCCATGTGGTCAAAATATTTTTTAATATATTAAAAATTTGTGAAAATTGTAAATACTCTTACAATTTAAAAAAAATAATAATAAAAAATCTAAAGGTGTAGCAGTTTGTGCTTAAAATTTGATACTTTCCCTCTAAGATTCTTACATAAAAAACACCAATACAACAGAGTTTATTTGAAAGAGTATACATGTAAGTGTATTTACTGTCTTTATTTTGATTGCAAAAATAATAGTATTGATTACTTTTTGATTGTGTAGTAACACTTTACTTAAAGGGTGAGGGTCATGAAACCTATAAAATCATGATATGACACGTCACTGTCATTAGAAGCCCCTTTCACACAGTGATACGGGTAAATATCTGGAAAATTTCCGGAACGACTTTACCGGTATATTCAAAAAAGCGCTGTTCACACAGGCGAGGACTTTACAGAAATTTTCCGGAAAAGAGCATTCACACATCCATTCCAAAATACCGGTAAATTCTGACATCATTCACCACAAATGAGCTTTAAACGGCTGCGCTTGTATTTGTAAACATTTGACTAAATTACAAACTCTGTGGATGATCAATATTGTGAACAACTTTCGCAGGATCACTTTCGCATGTCGAGATGTTCATAATATGTGCGTGTGCAGGCGCTCACAGGCTGTTTCACAGGCACACGCAAAGCTTGAAGGTAAACAAACAACGGCTTATCATAAGCATCTCATCGATGATTATTTAAACAGTTGGCATTAAGAAGAACATATAAACGTGATCTGACTAACTTCTAGCAGCTAAATGTGTCTGGAAAAATATTCAAAGGCTTTTATTCTCACAAACCGCGCAGACGTAAATGCGTCTGACTGTTGTGATTGGCTAAAGCAGACGTCTCACGTCAGCACGTTCTAGACGTGCACGCGCTTATTACGGCAATCTTCCTTCTGCATTCACACAGCGCAGCATTCCGGCAAATTGCCGGTAATGTTACAACTTCTCTTTCCGGAAAAAAGCCAGAACGAATTTACCGGTATTTTCAAAAAGGACCTGTTCACACATACAACCTTTCTGGAAAATTGCCGGCAATTTTCCAGAAAGGTCTGTATGTGTGAAAGGGGCTAGAGTGTCATTCGCCCAGCTATGAAATTTTAACAGCAAAAATGACATTGTTTGTTGACAACTTGACATAAACAAATACATAACAACCAGACAACTTGACCAAGACAACAAAGCTGGTCATAAATCTGTCATAAACATAATTGTCATGAAGCCATTTTAAATAGATCATGAATTTTATAATGACATTATTCATGTTTTTATTGATCTCAAATACAGTGGTACAAGCTGAATCCATCACTAAAATGTAATTAAATATTAGTTATGAATAGGAATGACACTTTTAACAAGACATTTTAATGACAAATACAGTTTGTTCCACTGAAAAACTCATCAGAAAAATATTTATAAACACACAAGGGCCTCATGACAGTCATGTTTATGACAGATTTATGGCAAGTTTTGTTGTCTTGGTAATGTCAAATTGTCAGGATTAAAATAAAGGGCGGTTGTGATGTATCTGTTAATGTCAAGTTGTCATAACAAACGATGTTATCTTTGCATTTAAAATGACATCATTGAGGAAATAAGCATGCATCTCATTCACAACAAGTTTTATCGACTATATTTTCGTAAAGAGATTAAACAATCACTCTAATATTTTTCTACATTCTCCCTCGATTTCCAAACTTCCAGTTATTTTCAACTCTGGGATTAAAAACAGGATAATTTGCCATTTCCTTCCCGCAAAAAGACAAAAAAATTCTTTCTCTCCTCCTTTTTTTGTTGTCTCTACGGGAGAGTCAGAGGTCCTGCAACATCTGTGATGTACCATGTCTTTACAGCGTGTCCTGCAATGCTTCTGAAGACACATTATTGAACGGAAGGAAAACTTTGTGAGATTCTAGCGTGACGTTCTAGATGAGATGAGGACAGCTGTACTGAAGTATGCAGGATTGTGATGGACACCAGAGGAGGTCAGGGCAAAATTTGTGTTTTTTTCTTTTTTTTCTTTTCGCACTTTTAATTACACGACAGAGGAAATTCCTGCAAAGCCCTCTGGGATGGCGACTTGGCACCAACGAGACGGTGGACTCAAAAAATAGAGCGATATTTTTGATATCAAAGCGAGTCGAATGTGGGTTGAGAGGAAACCAGGGCCAGACTCTTGGGTCTGGGTGGGATTTTTTCCACTCAGTCTGAGAGAGATGTGCTCTAACACATCTGAAACATGAGTGTGTGTGTGTGTGTGTGTGTGGTAGGAAATTGAATAAAATACATTCTTTAAGTAAACTAGATTTGAGAAGGGTAAATTTTAATTAAGATAACCAAATAAAAGTGCAAACTGTTTTTTAAATACAAATAAAATAACAATAGGTAGAAAAATATGATTTTGTAAAACCGATGCCACGATAGAGTTCACATATATGTTTTTTAAATCCAAAGTTACCACTTAAAGACAAATGTCTTTTTCCATACTTTTTCCTGATTTTGTGGACTAAAATCAATTTTATTTATTAAACAAGTGTGGGTTAACTAATATAATATAAATGTGTTAAGATTTCAAGTCTGATTCACTTCCATTCATTTATAGTCAAACCAAAACAATTTATTTGATTGCTGGTTGACAAGTGGGAAAGGAATAAAATGGCACAGATGTTTAGACAAATAGATGGTTAGATGGATGAATAAAACCAACAAAAAATGGATGGGTGGACAGATCAAAGATGGAAAGAATGAACATATGGATGGAAAGATGAATGAAGAGAAAAAACTTATGGATGGAAAAAGATAGAGATGTATGGATGGATGGATGGAAAAATTGTGGATGAATTGATGGATGGATGGACAAATTAAATGGGTAGACAGATGAAAGAATAAATGGAATGATGATGGAGAGAAAATATGGATGATTGATTAAGAAAATGGATGGAATGGAGATAAATGGAGAGAAAATATAGATTAAAGCAATGGAGGGCAGATTGATGGATGGACAGATGAATGAAAAGAATCAATGGAAAATGGATGGATTGATAGACGAATGGATGGATGGAGATGAATACAAAAGAAAAGAAAAGAGATGGAGGGTGGATGGTTGGATGGATGGATGGATGGATGTATAAACATATAGAGTGGATGGATGAATGGACAAACAAACACAAATGGGTAGACAGATGAATGGAAGAAATGGATGGACAAACATAGATGTGTGGACAGACAAATGGAAGAAATGGATGGAGATGAATGAAAAAGAGAAGAAAAGAGATGAATTGAGAAAAAATATAGATGATGAATACAATGGAGGGCAGATGGATGAATGGATGGATAAATGGATCGAAAGATGGAGAAGATGGATGGACAACCATACAGATAAGTGGACAGATGAATGGAAGGAATTGATGGATGGACAAATGTAGATGGGTGGACAGATGAATGGAAGAAATGGATGGACGAAAAGATGGGTAGACAGATGAATTGAAGAAATTGATAGATGGATGGATGGACAGATGAATGGACAAACATAGATGGGTGGACAGATGATTGGATGGATGGATGGACAAACATAGATGGGTGGACAGATGAAGGGAAGGAATGGATGGATGAATAGTTGGACGGATGGACAAACATAGATGGGTGGACAGATGAATGGAAGGAATTGATGGATGGATAAATGTAGATGGGTGAACAGATGAATGGAAGAAATAGATGGATGGATGGATGGATGGATAGATGGACTAAAAGATGGGTAGACAGATGAATTGAAGAAATTGATAGATGGATGAATGGATAGATGGATGGATGGACAGATGAACGGACAAACATAGATGGGTGGACAGATGAATGGATGGATGGATGGACGGATGGATGGACAAACATTGATGGGTGGAAAGATGAAGGGAAGGAATGGATGGATGGATGGATGGATGGATGGATGGATGGATGGATAATTGGACGGACGGACAAACAGATGGGTGGACAGATGAATGGAAGGAATGGATGGATGGATGGACGGACGGACGGACAAACATATGAGTGTACAGATGAATAGATGAATGGACGGAAAGAATTAATGAATAAATGGATGGATGGATGGATGGATGGATGGACAAACATACATAGTTGCGTGGACAGATGAAAGTAAGAAATGAATGAATGAAATCACAAACAATGAATTATTTTCTTTCAAAAAAAAATTCATGGATAAATGGATGGATGGCGAAGATGGATAGATTGAGGATGGACAGATGGATGGATGGAAAGACAAACATAGATGGGTGGACAAATTAATGTGTAAATGGAGAGAAAGAATAAATGGATAACACACACACACACACACACACACAAATCCTAGTATAACACCCAAACTTGCTAACTTGAAAGTTATGTAATGAATAATATTCAGCCAAGAGCAGGTAGAAGCAAAATTGTTGCTGTCTCCCACCTGTTGGGACCCCAGGCAGACTTCAGGCTGGGCGAGTGTGTCTCCGATTTTGACCAGGTGGGGTCGTAGCGTCTCTCTGGAACTTCCAGATAATACGGCCCCCAGAACCATAAGCGGAGCCCAGGGAGAGGCAGATGAGCAGGAACTGGAGTCTTCGACATGAGGTAAGAGTAACTTGAGGTAAACCTCTGGACTGACAAACACTCCCAGGAGCTTGGCTGACTCCAAACACTGAGGAGCAGAGAGACAGTGAAAATAGACATCTCTGTGTAAAAAATCTAAATCAATGCACTATTACAAACTCAATCAGTCCACTAAAATACTTTTAAGTGGCATAACTGTGCTTTAAAGGGATAGTTTACACCAAAAAATGGAAATTTATTTACTTTCCTATTTACTTTAGTTTTTAAACAAATACTATGAAAGTCAAGGGCTATAAGTTTTCAACTTTCAACTTTTTCAAAATATATGTTTTCGTGTTCACAAACTGGTTTGAACCAAGTAAAGGGTGAGTAAATGATGACAGAATTGTATCTTTTTGAGTGAACTATCCCTTTAAGGTGAAGTGTGTCATTCCTAAGAAATACAGATGGATAAAGATAGAGAGAACTGACAATTGGATATGTGGATGAATCAATGGAGAGAATGGAGGACAGATTGATAGACAGATATATGGACAAACAGACGGTAGGATAGATGGATGAATGAATAGATGCAGAAAATAGATTTTAAAAATGAAGTACAAATGGAATAATGGATGAATGAAGAGAATTGAGGATAGATGCAGAGATAGATGAATAGAAAGATGAATAGGCAACCGGATGGACAGATGAACAAATGCATTGATAAAGGGAATGGATGGATGAATGGAACAAGTGAATGACAGATGCATAGATGGAGAGAAACATGGATAGATAAAAAGATTGATGAAGGGATGATTGATGGATGGCAAATTTAGAAGTATAGACACAAATAGACAAACAGATGGTAAGATGGATGATGGGTGGACAGATGAAAGAGGGAAAGAATGAACATATGGATGGATGGATGGATAGAAAAGACGAGTTGATGAAAAACAGTGGAGGGATGGATGGACAGATGGGTGGACAAATGAATCAAAGAAAATAATGAATGGATGGATAGGTGTTGGATGGATGGAGAGAAAATATAGATGATGGATGGAAAAAGGGATGGACAGGAGTGGATGGATGGATGGATGGATGAATAAATTAATGAACATAGATGGGTGGACAGATGAATCAAAGGAAAGAATCAATGAATTGACAGATGGATTGATGAATGAATGGAAGGAAAGAATGAATGGACTGATGCATTGAGAAAAAAAAGAATGATAGATGGATGAATGGATGGAGAGAGAAAATAGATGGATGGGCAGACAGATGGATGGAGAAAAAAAGAGATGAATGAGAAAAAAGATGGATGATGGATAATGGAAGAGAATTGGATGGATGATGAGAGGATGGATGAATGGATGGATGGATGGATGGACATACATAGTTGGGTGGAGAGATAAATGGAATAAATCCATCAATGGATTGAGAGAAAAACTAAATGACAGATGGATGGTTGGAGAAAACGGAGGGAATAGCAGAAGAGAAGAGAAGATGGACGGATGGATGAATGGATGAACGGACAAACAGATGGATAGACAGATGAATAGAGGAAAAGAATAGATGCATGTACGGAGAGAAAATATGGATGATGGATGGATGGTAAAAATGGATGAATGGACAGACGGATGGATGGAGAGAAAAGAGATGAATGGAGAGAAAACAGATGATGGGAAAAAATGGAGGAAAGATGGATGGATAAATGGAACAAGAGGATGGATGGATGAATAAATGGATGTAGGGATGGATGGATGGATGATGGATGGATGAATAAATGAATGTAGGGATGGATGGATGGATGGATGATGGATGGATGAATGAATAAATGAATGGATGAACAAACAGATGGGTGGACAGATGAATGGAGGGACAGAATAAATGCATTCATGGATGGATGGACAGGATGGATGGATAGATGGATTAATGGACAAACATAGAGGGTGGACAGATGAACAGAAGGAAAGAATGAATAGACTGATGGATAGATTGATAGGTGGATGGATGGATGGATGGATGGATGAACGAACAGAGAGAAAAGATGGATAGATGGATGGATGGGCAGAGAGATGAATGGAGAGAAAAGATGGATGGAATAATAGAAAGTAAAGATGGACAGATGGATAGAAAGATGGAAAGGCAGACAATTGAATGGATGAATCAAAATAACAAATGAAGGGTTGGAGAGAATGGAGGATCATTCGTTCTCTCGGTCAGAAGAAATATCAGAAAGGAAAGATCAAAAGATAGACTAAGAGAGTAACCAGTGACAGTGATTGGCTGCTGTGTCACCTGTGTCCTGACGTCAGTCTCAGCATCTGCGCAGGCGTGATACAGCACTGTGAGCAGCATCTGCAGGTGTTGTGTACAGTGATCTTCAGCATGCAGGAGCAGAACCCGCAGCAGCTGCACCGTCTTCACCCGCGTCTGCACCAACCAGTCCCCAATATCCCGACCCATTGCAGGAAGCAGCTTGGATAGATTCCTTACCACCAGCTCCCGGCAGCCCAGCCCGGGACGTTCTCCTGAAACAAACAAACAGAAACAAAACAGCACTGGGTTTTATTATTTCGTCACTTTCATCCATTGTCATTAGGGCTGCACGATAATGAAAAAATCAAACATCGCAATATTTTGTTCATTCATTCATTCTCCTTCGGCTTAGTCCCTCATTTATCAGGGGTCCCTACAGTGGAATGAACCGCCAACTATTCCAGCATATGTTTTACCCAGCGGATGCCCTTCCAGCTGCAACCCAGTCTCACATTCACACACAATCTCACACTACGGCCAATTTAGCTTATTCAATTAACCTATAGTGCATGTCTTTGGACTGTGGAGGAAACCGGAGCACCAGGAGGAAACCCACGCCAACATGGAGAGAATATGCAAACTCTACACAGAAATGCCAACTAGCCCAGTCAGGACTCGACCCAGCGACCTTCTTGCTGTGAGGCCACAGTGCTAACCTCTGAGCCACCATGCCGCCCTGAATACAATTTCACCTGATTAACTATTTAGAAAGAATTTATCGTTGTACATTGATTGGGATGTTTCTGTAAGGGAGTGTATTCTGCATAAAATCTAATAAACATATTGAAATCGTAGATAAATACAAAAAAGAAACGTTACAGTTGAAATAAACAGTGTTTATCATTTTTTTAGAGGCATTAGTATTCAGGTACAGCAATTGAATTATAAAAATAATTCAATAAAGTTATTAAAGGTACAATTTCAGATGCCTGAATGCTTTTAAAATCATCGTATAGTCACAAGCCTCTTTCACACATACAGACCTTTCCGGAAAATTGCTAGTAATTTACCGGAAAGGTCTGTATGTGTAAATGCACCCTTTTTTAAAAATACAGGTAAATTCGTTCCAGCAACTTTTAAGAAAGAGAAGTTGTAACACTAACGGTGATTTGCCGAAATGCTACTCTGTGAACGCAGGAGGAAAATTGCAGGAAAGAGAGCGTTCATGATTAGAACACGCTAATGTGAGACGTCTACTCCAGCCAATCAGAACATTCAGACGCATTTACATCTGCGCTGTTAATGAAAATTTAAAGCCTTTAAATATCTTTCCAGACACATTTAGCTGCTGGATGTTAGTCATATAACGTTACTATGTTCCTTCTGAATGCCAACTGAAAAAAATTATCGATAAAATGCTTATGATAAGCCACTGTTAGGGCGAAGCAGTGGTACAGTAGGTAGTGCTGTCGCCTCACAGCAAGAAGGTCGCTGGGTCGCTGGTTCGAGCCTCGGCTGGGTCAGTTGGCGTTTCTGTGTGGAGTTTGCATGTTCTCCCTGCATTCCCGTGGGTTTTCTCTAGGTGCTCCAGTTTTCCCCACAGTCCAAAGACATGCGATACAGGTGAATTGGGTGGGCTAAATTGTCCGTAGTGTATGAGTGTATGTGTGTGGATGTTTCCCAGAGATGGGTTGCGGCTGGAAGGGCATCCGCTGCGTAAAAACTTGCTGGATAAGTTGGCGGTTCACTCCGCTGGCGACCCCAGATTGATAAATGGACTAAGTCGACAAGAAATGAATGAATAATAATAATAAAAAAATAATAATAATAATGGCGAGGCAGTGGCGCAGTAGGTAGTTCTGTCGCCTCACAGCAAGAAGGTCGCTGGTTCGAACCTCGACTTAGTTGGCATTTCTGTGTGGAGTTTGCATGTTCTCCCTGCCTTCGCGTGGGTTTTCTCCGGGTGCTCCGGTTTCCCCCACAGTCCAAAGACATGCGGTACAGGTGAACTGGGTAAGCTAAATTGTCCGTAGCGTGTGTGTGAGTGAATGTGTGTGTGGATGTTTCCCAGAGATGGGTTGTGGCTGGAAGGGCATCCTCTGCATAAAAACTTGCTGAATAAGTTGGCGGTTCATTCCGCTGTGGCGACCCCGGATTAATAAAGGGACTAGGCCAACAAGAAAATGAATGAATAAGCCACTGTTTGTTTACCTTCAAGCTCTGCTTCAGTTGCTTGACGTGAAGTGCAGGAGTGCTCTGGTGAGCGTCAGCACAGACATATTATTAAAATCTATAGAATACACCTTTAAGGGACTTTGATAATATAAACATCTCGATAGCGAAAATGTTCCTCCATGTTTTCAGCGAAGTAGTTCACGATACATATCCATCCACAAAATTTGTAATGTAGACAAATGTCTAAACATTTAGCTGTGGCAGCTTTGGATGTCTCTGGGACAAAGCAGCTGCATGAATGCTAAAGCTTTGGATAAAAGTGAAAACATCAACAAAACCCAGACCCCTTCTATGTTTACACATACAAGCGCAGTCGTTTACAGGCCATTTCTGGTTGATGATGTCAGAATTTAGCTTTATTTTGGAATCGATGTGTCAACATTTTTTTTTTTTGAATTTACCGGTAAGGTCTATCAGTATTTTTCCAAAGACTTTCTAAGGGGGCTACAGGCCTCAAAAATCTCTGAAACCCAGAGAGCTTCTTCCTAGTTTCACTCAGAGATGAAATAAACATAAACTAGATCAGGCCTGTGGGGCTTTATTCTGGGACAAGATAACCAAGCATCAGTATCTGTTGAGGAGGTCAGGGAGGGCTACAGTATCTCAAATATCTGATATGTTATATGTCATTTGAGAGTCTGCGCTACAGATTAAGCATAGATGTTGTATACAGGGCTTGACATGAATTTTTTTTGCTTACCAGCCACAGTGGCTAGTAGTTTCCAGAGTTACCTGCCACTCTGCATTTTCACTAGCCACAAATTCATTCATTTATTTAATGTTCTGCTTAGTCCCTTTATTAATCAGGGGCCCCCACAGCGGAATGTGCATATGAAGCATATGTTTACGCAGCGGACACCTGTCCAGCCGCTACCTAGTACGAGCCACAAATTAATTGTTAGGAAAATACATTTATTTGCTTACATTTCACTTTAATATATTCATTTTAAGTGATTTTACTTTATTTAGTTCAATTAAAACCCCTCTGACCACCCAACTTTTAATATGCGTGGTCAACATTGTGGATAATTGGATGGAAGTGGAACAAAACCTTTCATCAAAGTTGACGCAAAACCAAAACACTCATTCTTGTCTTAGAATAATTTGATTAACTTTGTTGATCCATGTTAAATGTTGACTTATACGTGCAATACAGGTCATAACATATAAATAGAGCCACTTCTAATGAATACAATAACAGTTGAAAATGAAAAGACGCTTTAAATATTTGTTTTTAAACTATTAACTATTTATTTAATTATGTAAAATCATATATTAACAACAGTTGTAGTGCTGCAGAGTAGAATAATCTGCAAGTACAAAGCAAAAATCTACTAATCTCGGCTAATCTCAAAAACTTAAATTAACACAGACATACACAGGAATCAGACCAATTTTTTTGCCACTTTAGGTTTCAACCGGTAACACTGATTGGTGACATTTTAACTTACTGTATATTAACCAAATACAGATTGTAAGAAAGCACATAACTCCTTTTGAATCTAAGAAAAAAAATGTCACTCCAGGGTTCAACGCTAAGGATTTTTTCTACTGGCCCGATCGGACCAGTGGTTGAGATTTTTACTTGCCCTTCCAATATTTTCACTGGCCCTACCAAATAAAAGTCAATAGTTATTTCTTAGCCACAAATTCAAAAAAGAAATGTGTCAAAATGTTTGTAAATCTAGAATTTAATTATTTAAAAAACGTTAATAAATGTGTAATGGGCAAAATTCAAAGTGTTTTGCAAACAAAAGTAGCAAAATGCGCAGGTATTTTATTGCAAAACAAAAGATGGCTGACCTGCCAAACTGACGGCAAACTGTACAAAACATCACTTCATTTTTTTAGTCGTGGCGTACCCTCATAAACGTTTGCTTCCAAGATGTTAAAAATAAATATTTTCCTTCAGCATCATCACTTGATGATGCCGCCATGTTGCTGTCTCTTCGATGTACTGGTTGTTACGAAAAAAATAACATGCTCACAATATCTAATCAGATAAGAGGAACTGAGAAGGTAGCATTTAAAGACTTAAAAACGCAAACGGTTTCTGTATTCTGACTGTTTTTACACGCAATTGACAAATAGTCACAGGCAAATTAAACTTTAGTGACAGGGCATCAGTGGCCCGATCGGGCCAGTAACGATCCTGTCTACTGTCCCAAGCATCTCACGCTGGCCCCGGGCCATCGGGCAGTCCTTATTGTTGAGCCCTGCAATCTATTAATAGTTAGTCTCACCTCCAGATGTGTAGAGAGCAGGTGCTGGCAGCTGAAAGTCCATCTTGTCCTTCAGATCATCCTCATTTTCCTTTTCCCACTGAGCTCCTACTTGCTTCCATGAGTTTTCAGCAAGAGACCTGGATCACAAAAGCATACATTTAAGAATCAAGTAAGTTTACATTGAATTGACCAAAAGTGCCAGAAAGAGGTATTGTATTACAAAAATGCTGTTAATTCAATTCATTTTTTATATCAAAGAAATCCAATACAGTACATATTTCATCAAACTATCAAATTATAATGATTTCTGAAGTAACCTGTGACACTGAAGACTAGAGTAATGATGCTGAAGATTCTTAGCTTTTTGTCAACAAGATATAAATTATATTTTAAATATATTCACATAGAAATGTCACTATTTAAACATACAGTACTGAGCAAAAGTTTTAGGTCAACATTAAATCTGTTTTTTACTGATGATATAATGGACATGTGTGACCCTTTACCATAAAACCAGTAATAAATGTACCTTTTTTGTCAATTATTTAAAAAAATTGAGATTTATACAGGATGAAAAAATGGTCTTTCAGTTGATGTATTGTTTGTTAGGATAGGAGTTGGGCTAGGTTAGAGTTGTCCTTGTTTGAGCTGTGTTGTTAGCAATATTTTATGAATTGATGGAATTGTGAATGCTGAAACGTATCCCATTCCTTCTGGAAAGGACTATAATGTATATGTAATAGTTTTCATTTTCGGCATGATAATGATCCGCTAATTGCAGTGAAATTTACTTTTGAGGAAAACAGTTGATGAAACACAGACAGTCATGAAATGGCCTCCACAGGGTCCAGACCTGAATAATATAGAGGCTGTATGAGATCACCTGGACAGAAAAAGAAAGATATGACTCTCTAAACCTAAAGAAGAACTCTGGAAAGTGCTAAAAGAAGCCTGATATTACACAGCACATTCTTTCAGAGAATGTCAGGAGAACAAAAACGGTTCAATTCGAATAAAACGGTTCAAGCTGTGCTACCGTGCCCCATTAAACATAGACTTTTGCTTGAAGAGGTAATGTTGTGCTGCTGTTGTTTGTTAGTACATATTTCCTACATTTTGTATTTGTTTTTACACAGAGACTGATTGATTATATATTTTGCAAAGGTCTTAGGTCAACAAAGTTAGTATAGTACTTAGGACCTACCTATGCACAGTACTGTATTTCACAATTTTTACTCTGTTTTTGACTAAACGAGTGCTGCATCGTGGAAATAATAGATTTTAAAAAATAAAAATTCTTATCAACACCATACTGAGGTAGTATGATGTAATAAACCCAGGCTCAATGTAAATACATGACAATACATGCAAAATACACTTCAATGCACATTTCAGATGACAAGTGCATGAGCTTTATTCTTCGATAATAAGTCCCTGTAAATATCATTAGTGTGAAAAGGAACAAAACTGTCAAACTTATGTAGAAGTACATTTTTGGCGTTTTAAAAGAATGTAGGTGTAATACACCATTGTGTATCCACAGTAGTAATTTGTGTTTTGTCATTAATGTTTCTATTTATTTATGTATTGACCTTATTCTCCGCAGACGAGCGGGCGCTGCCATTTGAATCTTTTTGGCACGAGACTTCCGGTCTCATTCACTTCCATTCATTTTTAGACTTTAAAAACTGCTCGTTTCGCTGTTTGATGTTGCAAACTGATATTTCCTTCTTATATTATTCTACTTGGTCTGTATAGTCATGCAAACATTTGTTTGTAGAACAAGTAGTTTGACCGTTTTTTGCTGTTTATTATTCCTTGTCATTTCTCCCATAGGCGACTGAAACAGAAGTTCTAAGACAATCGCAAAAACAGGCGCACTTCCGCATTTTAGAATAAGGTCGATATACTGTAAAAGTAATTTATTATCACTACTGATGACTGGGTGTGAAACAAAATAACATCAACAGTTGAGAAAGCATGAGCTGTGGGTTACCATGGCGATACTTTTTGTGTTTACTTCAGATGCTACTAAGCTGCTCCTGAAGAAAGACACTGAAGTTTTCTTGTGATTTTGTTTCTCCTGATAATTCAGGTATGTTTCATAAAAAAAGTCAATATGTTTATTATAATTCATGTAAAAACATGCGAGTATACATTTCCTATGTGTTTTTTTAAAGTGAATAGCTTATTTACAGTTGTTAATTGAGAGGAGTGATTCAGATGAAAGTACCAGTAAAATGACAGTTGGGCTGAGTTTATAACTGACTCCCTAGTAAATGATATGTATTATACTCAGTATGTGATAATTGAACAGAAAGTGACTTATTATTTGTATTTATTAGTTGTATATTTGTTAATGTATAAAGTTTATGAGAGTAGAGAGTTACATTGGTAATTGGTGTCAAGTGTAACTGTTACAATTTAAATGATACAAATAACAGACGCATGATTGTTCAGTGAGTTTAGTAGTCTTATGGTAAATGGTTATATACACAGGTATTTACAAAGAAAGAAAAATGAAATAGATGATTGACAAAGGATTTAAAGTGATACTGATAAATATACAGAAGGTATAATATTTATATGTGTTAATGAGAGTACAGAGTGTATAAGTATTTGAAGACTTCATTGTTGTAAAAAAAGAGAACAAAACTGTATGTTTGATAAAATGAAACATGATTTGTGAGGATATGCTTGCTATACTATGACTGTTAATAAACAGATGCTACTAAGCTGCTCCTGAGGAAAGACACTGAAGTTTTCTTGTGATTTCGTTTCTCCTGATAATTCAGGCACTTTAATCTGCCTACGAGTTCCGCGGCCGGGACCCGTAACATAGGCTAAAGCAGGTATTTCCAATAAGCTTATGCTGGATATGATAGTATAAAGAATGTTTTCAAACACACTAAATCATTTGCATAAGCTATAATGATTTCCTTTTATTTTAGAGGCTTGAAAAACACTAGCATGTGAAGTTTTACAGGACATGTGTTGTCACCTGATTTCAGGGATCTCATCACTGACGCTGGTCAGAAGCAGCGGGATGAGCTTGTGGAAGTAGGAATATCTGTCCGGCAGACGGAGAAGCCAATCACCAACAACAAGAGTAACAGCCTTCCTCACCTGAGCAGATTAGCACAATAATAAATCATTTGTATATGGAAAAAAACAACCCAAGTGTGCCTTGTAAAGCAGAAAATGTGCTCTTGGAATAAAATAAAATGTAATAAAAAATTAAATAAAGTCCCCTGTAAAGTGAAAAGTGTATTTTTGAATTAAAATAAAATAAAATGAAACTAAATTAAATAAAGTTCCCTGTAAAGCAGAAAGTGTATTCTTGAAATAAAATAAAATACATTAAAATAAAAAATCCCCTTTAAAGCAGAATGTGTATTCTTGGAATAAAACAAAATTAAATTAAATAAAGTCCCCTGTTAAGCAGAAAGTGTCTTCTTGGAATAAAATAAAATCAAATCAAATAAATAATAATGATACAATTTAATAAAAATGTCCTCTGTAGAGCAAGAAGTGTATTCTTGGAATAAAAAAAAAATAAAATAAAATAAAAATGTCCCATGTAAAGCATTTTTTTTATAAAAACATAAAGAAATAAATGAATAAATAAATTATTAAATACAAATTATTAAGAAGCATTGCTCAATAAGCTTTTTTGGTATATTTTTTATTGATTGATTATTCAATTAAAGGCAGTTTACCCGTGGCGAGTCGTCAAACAATCTCTGTGCCAAGTGGGATAAAACCTCATCCACGTTCTTGCCTGCGCTGTACTGAATGACTGCACCGATGGCCTGTGTGGCAGAAACTCTCACTTGGGAGTGCTGGTGTGAAATAGTCTGCAACAGGGGTTTCAGAAGACTCTCAGCCTGAAGATGGAAATGTTCTGAGCAAAGGACAGAAAAAAGACTTGTATGTCACTTATATACAGTTGAAGTCAAAATTATTAGCCCCCCTCTATGTTTTCCCCAATTTCTTTTTAACAGAGAAGATTTTTTTTCAACACAATTCTGAACATAATAGTTTTAATAACTCATTTCTAATTACCGATTTATTTTATCTTGATGCCATGATGACAGTACATAATATTTGACTAGATATCTTTTAAGACACTAGTATTCAGCTTAAAGTGACATTTAAAGGCTTAACTAGGTTAATTAGGTTAACTAGGCAGATTAGAGTAATTAGGCAAGTTATTGTATGACAATGGTTTGTTCTGTAGACAAACCGAAAAGAGATATAGCTTAAAGGGGCTAATCATTTTGACCTTAAAATGATTTTTTTTAAATTAAAAACTGCTTTTATTCTAGCTGATACAAAACAAATAAGACTTTCTCCATAGAAAAAAATATTTTCAGACATGCTGTGAAAATTTCCACATCGCGATGCAAATGTGTGCATCGTCTGTTATTAGTGACTGACTGTAATTAAATGTGCTATAAAGATTTAATTTATCATTTCATTTTCATAAAACAGTTATATAGATGTTTAAGTTGCAGAATTTTAAAACAGTTTAACGATTTCAACGCTTTTTACTGGATATTACATCAGTCAATGAGACTAGGCTTGACTTTAGCCTCCTTGTTAGAGTAACTGACACCCATGCAAAGAATTGCTGGTTCGATCCATTACATATATTTATTTATTTGACATTTTTTGCACCACAAATACAAAGTTTCTGGTTTAGCCTCTCGGCAGCAACAAATCCAAGCCATCCAAGCTAGGCATGGGACGATAACCATTTTCAAGATAAACCGCGGTTTGGAAAAGTCAAGGTTTTAAAATTGCCAACATTTTCTGCTATACTGTTCCTGTGGTATGTCAGATTTTTTTTATTTTTTATTATTATTTTTTTTTTAATGACAACGGTATCTCCAGTAGATAAGATATCCAAAAATGCTGTTTTAAAGGGTCAGGAAATACCAAAACACATTTTTTTGAGCTGTTGAAAGACATATATGTGACCCACGCTGCTAAAAACACTATTAGGACACATATATTTCACAAAAAAGTGTAAATTGGTTGTTTTTGCATTATTACAAGTAAATTCATTCTTCCAGTTTAAAACAAATTTTTGAAGCTTCGTCACGTCGATTAGGTACTTGCATATATTACAGACTGGCTGTCTGTACCTTGGAGTACTTTGTGATGTCTCTGAGTGTGCTGCATTCATTCATGAGAAAGACTTGGTTCGAACCAATCAGCACGCTCTATTGTGTATGCGGTGCAACTTCATTAATACGCATTATAGCTTTGAAGACCCGTTTTTTTACCCGTTAGAGTGTTCAGACGGCAGAGAGAGACACCACGTTGTGTTGCCAAAACAAGAGGAAGAAGAAGAATTGTTTGGAGATACGAGTCCTCAGTGTTTCTTTTATTATTTGCTGCAAGGAAGGTTTTGTTTTCGTTTTCCCACTCTAAGAGCGCAGCTGGACTCACGTGTTGGTTTACAGTGAACCTGTCTAAGGAACATTTTTTTACCTGAGAGCTTTTCTCATCTGAAAATGGTGAAATTCAGATTTGCTGCTCTCTCCTTTAATAAAAACGCGGCTCCAGTTGGTGTTGATTGTCCTGTCCCTACAGATTTGTAAGTAGGCGATCAGTGGTCTTTGTTTGTTTATTTAGATGGCAAAGTTAGTTCGTATCGTCAGCAGTACTCTATCAGTGTTTAAAGACAGACCTTAGTCAAATGATTTCTTTTTTTTTTTTTATAACTATTTTTTAGGGGTTTTTCACCTTTATTTTGATAGGACAGTAGAGAATCAGACAGGAAAGCACTGGGAGCAGAGAGAGGGAAAGGATCGGCAAAGGACCTCGAGACGGGAATCGAACCCGGGTCGCCACGAGCACACTGGTGCTATATGTCAGCGCGCAGAACCACTAGAGGTGTAAAAACACCCTGCTGAAACAGGGGGGTTTGATAGCCCTTTTAATTGTAAAGAAATCTGTGTTTTTGAAACTATTGAAGACAGCAAAAGTAAAAGATTAATTTGAATTATTCAGCCTGACATGTTTACTGCTGCAAAACATTTTAAATGCTTCTCAAAATAAAAGCGAAACAAGTTTTTGTTTTTTACCCAGATATTTAAAAAGAACATACATTAGAGAGGTAATCACTACACTGTCAAACCATGAATCCGTGATATTTTTATCTAATGTTATCATACTTTCATAATCTTATCCCGGCCCATGCTTAATCCAAGAACTTATTTCTGAAAAAAAATTTAAGTCTGCCCTGATTTACTCACCCTTTGCTTGTTACAACCCTGTTTGAGATTCACTGTTGAACACAAAAGAAAACATTTTGGAAAGATCACGCAAACCGATTGACTTCCAAAGTTTTTTTTTTGTTTTTGTTTTTACAGGTTATCGGTTTCTAATATTCTTCAAAATACCTTTTTTTGTGTTCAGCAACAACCAAAAGAAACTAAAAAAAAGGTTTGAAACAACTAGATAAAAAGTAAATTATATAATAATGATAATGATTTTCTTTTTAAGGGGAACTATCTCTTTCTTTTGAAGCACATCAACATCTTAAGTTACTTTACCAGGAATACACTGAGCTACGCTGACGGTGCATTTACAGCTCTCCTTCTTGACTTCAGCGAAGGGATCGGAGATGGTTCTCTGCAGGATCTTGATCAGGTCCTCCAGGTAAGGGGCGATCTGCTTCCCGCACACCTCCACCAGCAGAGAGAGCATCTCCATGAGCGCCAGTCTGAGCTCCTCCGCGGGCTCCAGGATCTCCTTCCCACCGAGCCTCTGCGCCAGCGCGGGCATCAGATACGGCAGACAGTCCTCTGGTTTGGGGACAGCCCTGATAAATCCAACGATGATCTGGATTGAAGCGTCTCTGCACGTCTCTGCTGGATCTGACAGGCACTTCAGCAGCGGCTTCAGCAAGCAGCCGAGAAGCTCCTGCATCGCGCCGCTGGATAAACGCTGCTCGACGGTTTCTCTTCTAACCGCTTCTAGAGCTCGCTTTCTCGCGCTTTTGTTGTCGTCGTTTAAACAGTTTAAATGGCGAGCCAGAGATTTTAACACATCCGCCGCGGCTCGGTCATCACCGGCGGCCGCCATTGCTGCTTCACGTGTGTTGTTGTTGTTGCTGGTTGTCATGGTTATTGTTGCCACTACGACTGTAAATCGCGACAGCTGAGGTTGCTTTACGGTAGATGCTTATTCAAAACTGTTCAACTTTATTTTAGTTTGCCTCCTTAGATCAGAAAGAGATATTGAAACATACAATAAGATGATAAAAACAAAGCTATATACTAAGTTAACAGGCAATGTATAGTTATGTGTTCTAGTAAAATGTAATTTGTTCTGCAAGCCACTGATGACGTTTCTTTAAAAAAAGTTGTCGTTTAGAACTTAAAATGATTAGAAAAACAAACAAAAAAGCCATGTTTTTGGATTTTAGACATGTTTATATTCATTTTTTGACAACATAATACCAATGTTTTGACTTCAGAGGAGTTGTGTATGTAAGTGTATATATAATAGACTTGTATATATGTCTATGTGTGTAGGCTACTACTATTACCTACCTACATATTTTTAGGCTGTAAATGACAATAAGTAATGTTTACACATACCAATAAATAAATGAATAAATAATCAGGACATCCAGAGAAAACTGAGAATTTTAAACTATTTTAAAATACATTTCAAAATTAAATATTATCTTTATATCACAAAAAGAAAAATGTGAGATAAATCCATATTTTACAAACAGACAAATAGGTTAACTTATTAGTTATCTCAATAATTATTTCCGCATATATATATATATATATATCGGAAATAATTATTGAGATAACTAATAAGTTAACC